TAGAAATACTAAGGATGACCAAACTTAGAAAAATGAAAAAATTTTAATGTTATTTTGAGAGAGAAAGTGCATGCATGAAAGTGAGGGAGGGGCAGAGAGTGAGCAAGGAAGAGAGAGAGAATCCCAAGCAGGCACTGTGCCATTAATGCAGAGCCCTAAGCAGGGCTCAATCTCAATGAACTGTGAGATCTTGACCTGAGCTGAAATCAAGAGTCTAATGCTTAATCAACTAAGCCACTCAGGCTCCCCGAAAAATGAATAGTTTTAAACCACTGAAGAAATTAAATCAGGCTTGAAAGTTTTCATCAATGGCTGCTGCCAGATATTCAAGGGAGAAATAATTCCAGTCTTAACACAAATTCTTTAAAGACTGGAAAAAGAAGAAATATTTCCTACTATTTTTTCAAGGCTAGAATAACGTCAAACTCCTAAGAAAGAAAGTATACACCAATGTCATTCATGAAATGCAAAAGCACTAAAAGGTATGTGAGCAAACAGATTCCAGAAATGTATTAAAAGAATAAATATAGGGGCGCCTGGGTGGCTCAGTCGGTTGAGCGTCCGACTTCAGCTCAGGTCATGATCTCGCGGTTCATGGGTTTGCGCCCCATGTTGGGCTCTGTGCTGACAGCTCAGAGCCTGGAGCCTGCTTCAGATTCTGTGTCCCCCTCTCTCTGCTCCTCCCCTGCTCACATGCTCTCAAAAAACATTTTTTTAATTAAAAAAATAAAAGAATATAAGGACTAAGTTTGGGTTTATCCAGAGAAGGTAGTTAAACATTAAAAAGATCAGTGTAACTTACCATACAAACTGATTAAAAATAAAATAACTATCCTCTAAACTACAGAAAAAGCTTTTAGTTAAAACAATATCCACTTATTATAACTCTTGGAAAATTAATAATTGGGGCTTTCCTTGAATTGATAAAACATTCAAGAAATCTGAAGCAAACATCCACTTAGCGATGAAGACACAAAATCTTTCTCTTTAATATCAAGAAAAAGGTAAGAAGGCTGGCTATAATCACTTCTAATCTACGTTGTCCTATAAATGTCAGCAAAAGCAATAAGGTAAAAAATATAAAACGGTAAATCCTTAAAAATGTTAGAAGGGAAAAGACACCTGATTCCTTTTTCTTTAATGTTTATTTTTGAATGAGAGAGACAGAGTGCAAGTGGGGGAGGGGCAGAGAGAGAGGGACATACAGAATCTGAAGCAGGCTCCAGGCTCTGAGCTGTCAGCACAGAGCCCGAGGTGGGGTTCAAACCCACAAACTGCAAGATTGTGACCTAAGCTGAAGTTGGACGTTTAACCAACTGAGCTACCCAGGTGCCCCCAAGCCCCTAATTCTATGCAGACAGAATATTATAGATCTTTTAAAAATCTGTAACTAAATAATCAAATTGAGTCTAACAAGCTTCTTTTAAATAATCTACCAAAAAAAGATTTCTTATAGGCCAACAAGAAGCAATACACCAATGGAATTAAATAGAAGTACCATTTACAGTAGCATCAAAAAGGAATCATCTGGGAATTAAGCCAATATAGTATGTGTGAAACCTTTGCAGTGAATATCATGAAATGCTAGTGTAATTCAGGAAATGTGAGATAGAGTCCATGTTCAAGGATTGAAATACTCACTATCCAAAGTCAATTCTACACAGAATGATTTTTAGTTTTAATGAAATCCCAAAGTGCAATACTTGTGGTGGTGGTGGTGAACTTGAAAAGCCTATTTCCAAATGTATGTGGAATTTGCAAGGGGCCAAAGATACCTCAAAAACACCTAATGAATAAGAAGTGGGAAGGTCTTGCTCTAAAGATAAGGTGTTATAGGGGTGCCTGGGTGGCTCAGTTGGTTAAGTGTCCAACTTCCACTCAGGTCATGATCTCACAGCTCGTGAGTTTGAGCCCCATATCAGGCTCTGTGCTCACAGCTCAGAGCCTGGAGCCTGCTTTGGATTCTGTGTCGCCTTCTCTCTCTGCCCCTGCCCCGCTTGTGCTTTGTGTGTGTCTCTCTCTCTCAAAAATAAACATTAAACCTTTAAAAAAGATAACTTGTTATAAGGTCTTAGAAATTAAAAGCCTAGCAGAATCCAGAGGTATGAACAACCAGCATAGGGATCCCCAAAAGACCCATCCACGTGTGTTCAGATATTGCCTGAGGACAAGTACATCATGGGGGCAGTGGGGGGCGGGGGGACAGGGAGTGGACACCGCCTTAGCAGAGCTGCTGCATTATGCCCTTTGTGCATGGATGAACATGTAATGCTTTGGTATCTTTTTTCTGATCTCAAGTGTGGATGCAGTAACCCTTAAGAGTGACATCAGCACTGTTCTCTTGCAGTTTGGTGAAATGTTCCATCACCGCTGATGGCTGTCGAGACCTCGCCTCAGTCCTCACTGGCAATCAGAATTTGAGAAGTCTACAAATCAGCTACAATGACATAGAAGATGCTGGTGTGAAGCTGCTGTGTCAAGGTCTAGCACATCCCAGCTGTCACTTAGAGATTCTTGGGTGGGTGACCCCAATGTCAAGGCTGGGTCTCGGTGGGTGGAAGGTGGAGGAAAGTGGAAACCAGACTGGGACACGGAGTCATGAGCTGTCCTGGAGTAATGACTCCTAACTTAGAGACGTAAAGTAATGAGCACTGGCAATGGCTCAGGGGTCCAAGGTTCCCTGGGGACTGGCTCATGTAGGTGGTCCTCTCAATCATTTTGACAGTGTGCTGGGGCTGCCATAACACAGCCCCATGGACTGGGCCACTTCACAGAGATGTGTCACCTCATGGATCTGGAGACCAGAAGTCCAAGATTCAGGATTGGGCAGGGCTGGTTTCTCCTAAGGTCTTTCTCCCTGGCTTGTAGACAGCTGTCTTCTCCCTGTGTGTGGTCCTAATTTTGTCATCTTATAAGGACACTAGGCATAGTGGATTAGGAGTAATTAATAACTTGATTTTGACCTCTTGGCCTCTGTGGAGACTCTGTCTCCAACTGTAGCCACATTTGGGGGTTCTGAGGGTTGGGACTTCAACATGAGTTTTTGGAGGGACACAATCAGCATCTCGGGTTCTAGACAGCAAGAAATGCACAACGTGGTGGCTCAGAACTCCCATAACCTTGCTTCCATTGGGTCCTACAAGCCAAGACCATGCAGGAGACCAGCCTCTTTCAGGGGTAGGGAAACAGGTCCCTCCATGACTGGAAGGAGCTGCCAAGACCCAAGCCCTGTACAGGCATGGGATCAAAGAGGAACACACAGTGTGGCCCTCTATGATCTCCCCCCAGTCAGGGACCAGATGTCACACACTATACTCAGAGGCTAGGGGTGACCTTGGCTAAATGTGACACCCTCATCCCACTCACTTGGATGAACCACCTCTCACCCTGTATGCTTGGTCGCAGGCTGGCTACATGCAAGTTAACAAGTGCCTGCTGTGAGGACCTCTCTAGTGCCCTCACCAGCAGTAAAACCCTGCAGAGTGTGAACCTGCAAGGAAACGCCCTGGACCACACCGGAGTGGCAGTGCTATGTGAAGCCCTGAGACACCCAGCGTGCAACCTGCAGATTCTAGGGTGAGCTGGGGTTTGCTCTCCTGGTGAGGACACGCCCGGGTGAGGGAGGATTCACTGGAACCCGAGGTGTGGTGCTGCCACAGTCAAAATGCAAATGGTGCTCCTTGCCTTGGGATTGTGGGAGTGAAAGATACGTCAACTCAGCACAGTACCTGGTGGGTGGTGATACCCTATGAACAGGGGCACTTGCTACTGTTCCAGTACAATTATAAAGTATAGCTTACTATATTAAAGCTTATCTACCAGGCGCCTGAGTGTCTCAGTCAGTTGAGCATCCAACTTTGGCTCAGGTCATGATTTCGCGGTTCATGGGTTCGAGCCCCACATCAGGCTCTGTGCTGACAGCTCAGAGCCTGGAGCCTGCTTTGGATTCTGTGTCTCCCTCTCTCTCTGCCCCTCCCCTGCTCACACACACTCTCTCAAAAATAAACATTAAAAAAAATTAAAGCTTATATAAAAATTTTACATTTATAATTATTGATATATCAGACTTACATTTATACTAATATAGACCCTAGGGTCTACATAATTTATAAATGTATATTATGTAATGACTTACATAATATACATTTATAAATTATAACTAAAATCTAATGTAAACTACATATAATTTGTATATTTATGTAGACATAAACATATTTATAGCTATAAAATTAAAGTATAAAGTAGACTTCTGCATGTTATATGTTATAGACTTATATTAAAATTTAAGTAGGTATTTATGTATTTCATATATTAGATTTCATAGTTATAATTTATATGTATAATTATACATGTATATAATTATGTATTTTCATTTTTTATTGTATATTTGTTTTTGAGAGAGAGAAAAACAGTGTGAGCAGGGGAGGGGCAGAGAGAGAGGGAGACACAGAATCCGAAGCAGGCTTCAGGCTCTGAACTGTCACCACAGAGGCTGACAAGGGGCTCAAACCCACAAAACCATGAGATCGTGACCTGAGCTAAAGTCGGATGCTTAACTGACTGAGCCACCCGGGCACCCACACATTTATAATTATAGATTTAAATATTTAAATTATACACATGTAATATATATTATTCATACAATTATATAATTATATTTATAAAACTATAATTATACATATAATACAAAATGTATGTATTAGGTTATTTTATCAAAGATTATTCTATTAGGTGACAATATAATGAACCTTAAGCGTCGCTTTCTCATTTATTTCTCCTACTCTCTTCAAACGTATCTGAAATCCAGGGCAGTCGTAGGTACTTACATGGCCACTCATTTCTAGAAAGGACTCGGAGATGTTGGGCTAAAACTGGTATAACTCCAACACTAAGACCATTACTGTCTTTTCCACCTTGTGAAGCTATGAGTCCATTTCCTCAAAGTCCTATGTCTAGAAACTTCAGGTGCCTGCCATCTAGAAAGTTCATCCTCATCTTACCTTTTGTGAGAGGTTCCGAAGGTGGTGCTTGAGGCAGTGGGAAGACTTGGATTTTCCATAGTTTTTCCAAATCATGTTATGCCAGCTTTTCCGTGCTGAGTCTTGTAGCCCCAGGCAAGGCATTTCTCCTGATTGTCTGTTCTCTGCCAAATGAGGGAAATGATTGGACACAGGTACTGTGAAAATACAGATGTAATAAAAATGCTGGAAACACCTAAGTGAGTTTCCACATCCCGTGCACCCTCCCCAACCATGGACAGTCCCACAGATCTGTGTGTCAAGACGAACAGATGCCTGAAAGAATGTCCTTCACTCCAACAGGGAGGTGAAGGTGCTCCGGACGGTTGCCAACAGATACCAGCAGACACCAGAGATATTTGTACCCACAGAAGAACACACACAGACAGTCATCCTTAACCCTCCCATTTAGTTCAGAGCCACAATGGACTGCCTCGTGTTAAGTGCAGGGGCTCCAGGGCCACGGTACTGGCATCTGTATCCTGACTCTACCACTCGATGGCTGTGTGACCTTGAGCCAATTTGCTTTGCCTGCTTGTCTTCATCACAAATCGGGTCAATAATGCTATCTCCCACGGTTGAGAAATTTTATTTTATTTTTAACGTTTATTTTTGAGACAGAAAGAGACAGAGCATGAACGGGGGAGGGTCAGAGAGAGGGAGACACGGAATCTGAAACAGGCTCCAGGCTCTGAGCAGTCAGCACAGAGCCTGAAGCGGGGCTCAAACTCACGGACTGTGAGATCATGACCTGAGCCGAAGTCGGCCCCTCAACTGACTGAGCCACCCAGGCGCCCCTGAGAAATTTTAATGAAAGCTGCACCTAAAGCCCTCAGCAGAAGGCTAGGACCAGGCATTCAGATAACAGAAGCTATTACTGTTTTATCTTTTTAACAATAAAAGTAGTTGGTCTTGCTCCTTAGCTTCCTGAATTCCCATCTTCAAACCCCAATGTTCAGGTGGAGTCAGGGCTTTCTATCAGATAGGACATCTGTTCTGTCCAGCAATGTGCTGGAGACCGCTGCCACCAGATGGTGATAACCCTGTGTGGACAGTTCTTTCTAGTCTTGTGTTTAGCGACATCAAGTTGGCAGCTTTAAATTGGCCATGATAAGAGAACCTGGGTGGCTCAGTCAGTTAGGCATCTGACTTCGGCTCAGGTCGTGATCTCATGGTTCATGGGTTTGAGCCCTGCATTGGGTTCTGTGCTGATGGCTCAGAGCCTGGAGCCTGCTTCAGATTCTGTGTTTCCCTCTCTGTCTCTGCTCCTCCCTCACTCACCCTCTGTCTCTCAAAAATATTAAAAAATTTGAAAAAAAATTGGTATTGGCCATGGTAGGAGAATTTACACCTCAGAAACGTGCAGTGCTATAAATCAGGGCTTTTCTCCCCCCCGCCAACCCCTCCAGGCCCCCACCCCCGGCCAAGAGCCAGGTGTTAAACATTTATCAGTGCACCACTGCCCGAAAGGTATGTCTGTCCCATGGGGGTGGGGAGGGAGGCAACACCAGGTTCTCCTAGGCTTGACCAGGGAAAAAATGCTAGAGAAGAGCTGCAGAGAAGAAACAAGAGGTAGCAATTCAACAGAGCTCTTCTTATATCTTACCAGGCTGCAAAAAACTGAATTTGATGAGGAAACCCAGAGACTTCTGACAGTTGCAGAAGAAGAAAATCCCTCCTTGACAGTTCTAGGTGACTGGTGACTCCTCCTGACCCAAGTGACCTGCAAAGAAAAGTTATTGGAGCCCTTACTCATGCCTACTCTGTCCCCAGGAATTACAGTTCCAGACACAGATGTAAACCCTGATCTTTCTGCATGGCCTCCCCCTCCCCCCACTTTGGATACTTCATATACTGTGTGTGTATATGGTTTTTATTTGCTTTGTGGCCTTGGGCAAGCCCTGAAAGGCTGTCAAGGTCAAGTTCTTATCCTGTCTCACAAGGACATTTTAGACACTCAATAAAATCTTAGATCTTAAGACAGTTTGTCAAATCTCCAAAAAGATTGTGTTCCCAGTGCATGCCCAGAGCAAGCATGCGGGTTGTAGAAATTGTGGTCTTTTCCCTACACGGCTTGGACAGGTGCTGCCCATACTGTGAGCATTGGACCTGTGGTATAACCTGGTCCCCCTTTTCTGCTTGTGCTGCTGGTGTCCCAACTCAGGCTCTTTCTCTTCTCTTGCCTCATGATGGGATTTGAAAAGTACTATTTTATTAAATGTTTCAGGGAGAGAGCATGCACTCAGGAACGAGCAGGGGAGGGGCAGAAAGAGGGGGAGAGAGAGAATCTCAAGCAGGCTCTGTGCTGTCAACACAGAGCCTGACGTGGAGCTCGAACCCATGAACCAGGAGATCATGACCTGAGCTGAAATGAAGAGTTCGATGTTTAATGGACTGTACCCCCCAGGCACCCAGAAAAGTGCTATAAGTCATCCATAGCCCTCCACCTACATGTACAGCTAAAAGTGAAGATCCTTTTGACCACCAACCTGTCTCATTCCCTTCTTCCGACACCCCACAGGCAATCTGGCAGGAAACTAAGTACCATACCCTTTTTATACTTCCATATATATAAATGCATCCATTAACAAAATAGCCTTGATTTTTTAAATTACATGAAGATCCCACGCCAAATGCACTGTTTTTTCATTGTTAGGCTATCCATATTGATAGGTGTGTGTAGACTAACGTGGATAGACTGAAAACAGATCACTCGTGATATATATGTATACACAGAAATGTGTGTATAGTTCAACACGTATATATACAATGCCTTCTGTGTCAGGTTAAAAAAGGCGTATGCATGTATACGTATGTACACACATGCCAAAAGGTTGAGATATAAGTTTGTAAACCATAGGTCTCTATATATCTAAAAGTGGTTTCTTTAGCGGGATAGAATTGCCTTGTATATATGTACGTCATTTGAATGATCTATTGATAGAAACCACCTAAAATCCTAATATTTGACATCATATGTATCACTACAACCTACAACCTTATAAATCTCTCCTACAGGAATATTTAAGGCAGCCACCCAGAGATGTACATGTAGTGCGTATGGTTATAAGACACTAATAGAAGGATGATAATTATAACAAGGGAGGTGGGTAGATTGTGCGTGAAGAAATGAGCTCAATCCCAGCACAGTAAGGCATTTTACACAGTAGATAATGTGTGAAACCAATATAACAAATATAAGCAACATAAGCTACTGGTCTCATGGGATGTATAGGGGTTCAGGGAGGAATAAGCCACCAGATGAGCTAAGCATGTATCTGTCTTCACCAGTAGATTCTCCAATGGGTATTTCTCCATTGATGGGAAGGTTCTGCTGATTCCAAGAATGCTGGCTTTAAACACCCAGCTCCAGTGGTCAGATGCTGCATCTGTCACTGTGTCAATCAAGTAACTACGTTTCCTGCTCCCTTGCCTTCCACCTTTCTGAGTGCATCCATTCTTGGGACACAGGGCTTCCATATCACGGTTCAGGAGAGCCTAAAGTTTCAATTGAGTTTTGTGGCATGGGACTAGGTTGTTAAGTTATCGCTATTGAGACTATTCAATGATTAAAAAAAGAAAAAGAAATGGCCCAGGACAAGTATTTAAGCAGGTACAGGAGAAGAGTTCACATCTGAGAGTAAATTTCAACAGTCAGGCAAAAAGAATGCTTTGTGATTCGGTCTCTTGAGTCGTGCTTGTTCAGTGGAATAAATTGATAAAGTCGAAGCAAAACATTGACGAGTACAGAAACACCAGAGAAGACACCACAAGTCAGCCTCTGCAGAGTTGTAAAGTCACTCCATCAACCAAAGCTGCAAGCCCAGCAGGGTCCCCAAAACAATACTGAAGTCATTCTCTTCTGCCTCCTTCCAAGTTTTGGGTCATCTCTCTGTCCTTGCTCATCTCATTTCCCTGCATGACTCATTGCATCTCTCATCCTTCCCCAAACTCTACTCCCATCCTCCTCTTCCTGCTGAACCTTATGGCTTTCAAGACTCTCTTCTGTTCCCCTCCTCCAACTGAGGACCTCCAACCCTCCAACTGAAGAGAGGGGGTGGTAACTGGAAGGAAAGCTTAAGGATACAAGTATTTCACTTCTGGACTCCCCTGCCATCCACTTAGGAGTTAGATTTTGTAAAGTCAGCAACTCAAATGTCTGTTGACAAAGGAATGAGCACAATGTGGTCCATACCCATAGTGAAATAGGATTCCTAAAGAGCAAGGAAGTTCTGACACCTACTGCAACATGGATGAACCTTGAGGGCATTATGCTAAGTGAGGTTAAGTCAGCCAACAAAAAGAAATACTGTATGATCCCAGTTTTTCGAGGTTCCTCGGGTGGTCAAATTCATAGGGACATAAAGAATAGTGGTTGCCAGGGGCTGAGGGAGGGAGAAATGGGGAATTAGTGTTTAATGGGGACAGAGTTTCAGTTTGGGGACATAAAGTTCCAGGGATGGATGGTGGTGATGGTTACACAACAGTGTGAAGCTACTTAATGTCAATGAACTGTTCACTTTAAAATGGCTAAGTGGGGTGCCTGGGTGGCTCAGTCGGTTAAGCATCCGACTTCGGCTCAGGTCATGATCTTGCGGTCCGTGAGTTCGAGCCCCGCGTCAGGCTCTGTGCTGACAGCTCAGAGCCTGGAGCCTGTTTCAGATTCTGTGTGTCTCCCTCTCTCTCTGACCCTCCCCCATTCATGCTGTCTCTCCCGGTCTCAAAAATAAACGTTAAAACAAATTTTTTTAAATAAAAAAATAAAATGGCTAAGCAGTGAATTTTTGTTATGCCCATCTTACCATACAATAAAAATCACAAGAGAAAGAGACTGAGAAAGTCACTTCATCTCTCATCTGTGGAGAAGAGGGAAGGCATCCTGCCAGGGTTTCTGCAACAGAGGTGATAAAAAAATAAGACAAAAAAACTGAGCCATGAAGCATCTAGTTAGCAAGAGAGGATCTTGAGATGATAGGATTGAAGGAGATTATTAACCTAAGAGCATCATTTACAGGTGCTTATCACAACTGACCATTTCACACATCATTCTGTGTAATTTTTGCAAAACCTGAGATTGATGCTATCAGACCCAAGTTGTAATGAGAAAATTGGCTTAAAGGGTATAAAATCATTAGCTGAGAAGCAGTGGTTTTATCATCAAAAGCCACTGTGAATGTTTCCATTCCATAGAACCTGTTTGTCTTGCCAGATTCAACGCAGGGGATCCTTTACTCAACCACATCCCCTCCATTACATCACAAGAGGGATTCTCTGTGCTTCTTCTAGATAACTCTACACTACCCCTGCCTAACCACCCCCCCCCCCCCGGCCATACCATAGTCCTGGCCACGTCTACCCACACTTTTAAGATGGCCAAGTATCAGGTGTGAAAAAGGAGGGGGGGGGGGTAGGTGGTCTTTCACATAATCATGGACTTGAAATTAGAGTACAATTGGTCACAAGCTAATCAGTGTTTGTTGGGTGGTGGGCTTCCTAAACTGCAGTGAGCCTGGGGAAGTAGCTCAGCTGTCACCTCATCCAAATCCATTCAGTCCCATCCCATTTCCCTTCTGGGGATGGGGGTAGACCTATCCTTGATTTCCCTAGAAAGCCACTTTGGCGTTACGTGGCTTTGAAATAAAACAACATTGTTAGAAGACCCAAAGGTGAAGAACCTTTGCTGTAATTGAAATAATTCCATGGCACATCCAGAAATTCTAGAATAAATTCCTAAAATATTATGAAAATATTGATAGAGAATTTGTAGATCTAATGTTCACAGAAGAATATGCCCATGTTTTGTTTTCAAAGACACAATGAAGAAATTTTGGGATCCTCTTGGATTTGGGGTTAACAGTTTGTCAGATTATCAGAAATAACACAATGCTATTTTAACCTACAGTAACTAAAGACATGGAGACTAAGGCATATCTAAACCTTTGACTTTAAAATCTCTCTTCCTTGACAAGATTTTCTTAGTTCATAAACCTCCCCCCCCCCCACTATCCCAGCTTTTATCTATGATGAATGACCAAAATGCACAAGAAAGAGAAGAAAGGATTTATTTCAAGGACTCTGGGTTTCACTTATATTTAATGGTGAGGGAACATGATGGATAGAAGGATCATGGACTTACTCCAAGACCCCACTGGGTCTCATAAGGCATGTTGGCTCTTAAAATAGAAGACTCGGATTCTAAGTTTCATTATTTGACTTACTATTTCTGTAATTTGTTGTAGAACATTTATTTACCCTCAGAATCTTTGTTTTCAAAATCAGTCAAGTAGGGACGTCCCTACCTACAGGGCTCTGATGTGGATTTAGACACACTATGATAGGTTTTATAAGCTACGAAATGCAAAATGCAATGAATGTCCCACTGTTCCCTCAGACTACTTCTGATAGCTTTTGCCTATTAAATAATAGGGCAAAGGAGATAAAATTGTGATCAGATCCTATCTTCATATGTATTTCCCATGTACAACATCAATTTCACATTACATCCTTGGGTAGGATCCATGTTCCCCAGCATTTTCAGGTGAGTAAAATACATTTTAGACATAACACAGCCATGGATCATTCAAAGGTACACGCAAAAGCCAACATTGGGTCTATCTGCATCGTAGGAATGGTTCTCGATCTCCATCTGGCTGGTTTATCCACAGTATAATAACTGCGGAATTACAGTCACATCTGTCCCATCTCTCAATCCATAGGAAATGAGGCTTTAGGCTTTCTCAAGGTATTTTTTTAATATCCTTTGCTTTATTGAATTCTCTTAACATGTGAGAGTTAAAGACATTACACCAAGAAAGACAAAAGGAAACTTAAGACAAAGCCAATGTAGGCTCGTGGGGCCAAATGTAGTATTAGATTAGGATTCTGGAGATTGGGTATTTAAATATGCTGCTTACAACAAATTGTGGGAAAGCACTCTGGAGGTAACTGCTCATTTGTCCTTAAGAGCAGCAACACCTGAGAAATCTCCTGGTGATTCTACTCCAAGAACATCCCACAGTGTAGCCATTGGATCACCACCACCATTTGTCCTCAAGGTCATTGAAATCCCACTTACACTTGACTCTCAGAAAGGACCCCCTCTCCTGCAATTCCTCGAGCTCCCCCTTCACTATGTTGTACAACTCTTTTTCAAGCCTGCAAGAAAGAGAGATAGAATGTTTTTAATAGTGCATTACTTAGATGTGAAGTTGGTAATGTAAAGTCCTGAATGTGTAGATTTTGAACAACTTCCTCAAGTAGGCAAGATTCTTTGGTATCTGAGATTTCTGCAAAAATATGCCTAGTTTAAGGTCTTTCTCCAGGGGAAAAGAAAATTCTGCTTACCTTTCTGACCTCATCTCCAGAATACTGAATAAGGTGGAGAGTGTTCTAATTAAACACTCTTATTTCACTGCCTGGAAGGGGCAATACAGAGCTTGGTAGTCTAACCTCAGCCTTTGCACATGCTACTCCAGCTTCCTTCAAACACTCTTGGTCCTTTGTCACTGTCCATGTTTCCCTCCTGATATGTGGATTCCTCCTTCCAGCCTCCTTGGGATTCAGCATCAACATCACCACCTCTGACATGCCTTCTGGTACCACTCTGATCACCCTTGTTTTTCTACCACAATCCCAAGTTTCCTTCCCAGAATTCGTGACAACACTGCTTTTATACATTTCAGATTTGTCCTCTCCCTGAGGAGAATGCAGACCCATGATGGCAAGGCTCATGACCATTTATTTACTGCTATCTGCTATGGCATGCTTGGCCCATAGTCAGCATTAAAAAAAGGTATCATTGAGTGAAATGTTGTTGGATTATTGAGTAGGTACAAAAATGCAAAAAATGAGGGGACTCCTCAACTACACAGATGTCTGCAGGACGGTGCTGCCTGCCCAGCATGGTTGCCACTATCCACATGTGGCCATTTCAGTAATTCAGCTCCTTGGTTGCATTAACCACATTTCAAGTGCCCAGTTACTACATGCTGCTACTGGCTATTCTATCAGGCAGTAGATATAGACTGTTTCCGTCATTACTAAAGGCTCTGCTGGCCAGCACTGCTCCAGGAAATCCAATGCAGGGTGAATCTGATGCTTGCTATAAAACATCGGCCCATCCATCCCCTCTTAACAGGTGCCTCCCAGCATTAAAGGTGGTGGGGATTACCCAAGCTTCTGTAGTTTGCAGGTTGATTTTTTCAAGGCCTTCCACAGTGTGCTGACTCCTCTGGGCTCCAAGTTATTCCCCAAAAGGTTCAGGTTAAACAGGCTTTTACTGCTTCTGAGAACAGAGGAGAGATACTGGCAGCAAGCAGGTGTCAGATTGCATTTCTCCAACCTAGGAGTGGGTGAGAAGGAAGTGTGAAAGATGGTCCACTAGGATTGAGAAGTTAGAAACAGAAATGATACACATCTAGGAAAAAGTCTGTGGTTAAGCAGTGAAGAGCCTGCCACACACCAGACACTTCTCCAACTGCTTACACATAACTCATTTACTCATATACCAATCCTATAAAGAGGTGGCCAATGTCTTAAACTCCATTTGCCAGATGAGCCAACAGAACATTAGTCTGCCCAACTGTGAAAGAAACCATGTTTGTAAAAAGTAGATGTGAGTTTGGAAGATCCTTGAAAGGACTAAAATAAGATTACAACCTCTTCACTACACTTTCATCTTGTTCCTAAATTCAACAAAACAAAAATCTGTATGCCTAGTAGAGCTGGCCAACCATATGTTCAAAGACGAAAGTGACAAAGTGTTACATCAGTTTAACAGAGTGGAAATTTCCACCGAGTCTATAAAGATAATGTGACAGGTGTCCATACATGAAAATTTTGAGGTGAATCACTGGGTTCTACTCCTGAAGCCAAGACTACACTGTATGTTGACTAACTTGAACTTAAGTTTAAAAAATGCCTTCTGAAAAAAAATTGCGATGCATGAAGAGTGGACAGAAAGAATAGGTTTTCTTAGGGTGGAAGGGGTTGGGTAAGATCCAGAGAATGCTTCAAGATAAAGGTACTACTTGGTGGATAGGAAGAGAATGACAGGAGAAAGACCGACTCCAAGATCACACAAGTGCACCCTGTCTCCAGTCTAGCGCCACCTGCAGGGCTTTAACCAGTACCTTATACTGTATATTGTTGACCTTGATTGTGAACCTTTAACATTTCCATGGTCATCTAGGTCAGTGTTTCTCAATGAAAGGTGATTCCCCCCCTCCCCCACAGGGGAGACGGAACAAAGTCTTCAGAGCAGGGAGGTACAATTTCATCTGGTGGGTGGGAGCCAGAGATGCTGCTCAGCATCATACAGAATGAAGGACCACCTACAGCAAAGGATTACTCACCCCAAGGTGTCCACAGTGCTGAGGTTGAGAAACCCTGGTGTGATGGTAAAGATGGGACCTTGTGAGCACAAGTTAGCCATGCAGGTGCCTGCTTTAAGGCTACTACTTTGGAGAATGAAACCAGATGGAAGTGAACTGAGTGTCAGGCAGGCGTTCATCATTAAAGACAACAGGAGAGCTGTTGCAAACATTTTACTCATTTCTGCATCCAGGGAGAAGCAGCTAGAGAGTGAGGGCTTAAAACCAGACCATCATTCTTTTTTAAGGCACAAAGAGGACCCTGAATTACTTGTGTAAATCCCAGGGCTTCTCCTTCACCTGAAGGATAAAGAATTGTGCACCTGAAGATACTCCTTGGAGGATAAGGATGTACTAAGAAGCAGCAACTGGTGACTTACTTATGGGTATAATGCCCTCAAGGTGCATCCATTAAACACACATGGGGGGGGGGTCTCCACAGAGAAAGAAATACTGTAGAATCTCTTAACATTTTTTGAGAGTGAGTAGAATCACTGCCTATGTGAAAAATAGCTAACATGTAAGCCACACTTAACCCAAACTCCTATTCCTGGAGTCTAAACCATCTTAGTTTGCTAAACAAACACATCATCTTATAGTTAAAATCAGACTTCTCCTTAGACAGAAAAGACTCTGGGGCCAGGAAACAGGCTGTATCTGCCCCCCACCTACTATCCAAAAGGTACCGATTGAAAAGAATATTAATATTCCAAGGAGGGGGTGAGTGGTATGAACTTCTGTCTCTGAACTGGAGTCTTATTGTTGAGAAGAGA